ATACATTGTAAGTGACCCTTTAAAATTAAAGGTCCATGCCTTGTTTAGTGCAAATAAAACTTTTCAATGAAGAGGACTTCACTTCTAAAAAATAAGATTCACGTGCACTGGGGTTTTTTGAAGAATCTAAAATTTCCACGTAAAAAATCCAAATGATAATATATATGTAACGCACTGTCGAGAGTTGTAAAATAGAGCTTAACTCGACCGGATTCTACGTTATTGCTGTTAAGTTTACAGGTGGTTCGCATACCAGAACGCTTACGATCACTAGCAAACAATATTTTGCACGCCCATAAATGCAAATTGGTATATATTGCAAAGAAACAAGGTACATATTCGCTGTGCTGACTGCGGGTCACCCACGCCCAAACCACGAGTCGTCGACTATTTATTCAAAATCAAGGATTGTGCCCATTCGCTCCGGCGACCTCCATAAATGGACACCGAAATTTCAAACCATTCTCGGCACCAAATCCAATAGAGTAGGTACTAAACAAGGTTTCACACTATGGCGTCGACTATCTCTAGCTAATTTCAAACTAAAAACAGGTATTTCTGCTACCAATGTATCCGCCCTTGAAATTCCAGCTTAGAGTCGAGATTGTAATTTTCAACATCATTTTACAGTGCTTCATTTTCGTGTTATTATTTCGTTTATCGAGTATTCAAACTTATTACTTATGTTTAACTTATTAATAGTATCATTATTATAATTACTTTCCAATGCAAAGCATCCTTAATGAACACGCCAGTAAATAAGTTATTTAATTTTTATTGGACGTTTTTAAGTCGAATAGCGGTAACGTATCGCTTTCGTTCTATCTTAGGACAGATTGGAATCGCGAGTTTTACGGTGAACATTAAATCGTCTCAAATGTTTATAGAGGAAACATTAAATGGGCAACATTCTTTAGCGAGCGCCTGGGCGTCCTCTGTCTGGTAATCAAACAATCTTATGCAAATCATGCAAATAGTTATTCAGTTTTATGACTGCGGCTATCGGCTATTTATCAAGAGACCCTATATGGTAAGACAAACGTAGAAATTCCAGCGTTCCAAAATCCGCTATGTCGACACCGTATTTTGCAAGTTTATCATCACACTTGCTTCACATACGAAATATCGGTGAGCTTGTTAATGTTAATCCTTTTCATAACTTGATGCATGTTGCACGCCATTCAAGCGTGAAGGTCAGTAAATCTTTTTCATTATACACTTTTGGATTTTGAGCATTGTGATCTTCTGCTACGACCTAGTTCTTAAAAAGCTTCATTAACATCCAATATATTCATGGCTCTTCCATATTTGTTTTTAAATATATCATTACTAAGTTATTCAATATGTAAAGAATACAAGCTAATATAATAATAAAAGAGCATACGAAAACAAAACTGCATAACAATGACAAAGTGTTCCCAAGAGGGTAAACAACAGCATTGTGACGGCATAGTAGATAACGCAGGAATGCTAATTTTGATTAGAAACGAGAGCGGTACCATACTTATCGCGTACTTACATAGATAACTTTTAAACATGCGTGATTTTAAACACATTTTTGTGTTAGTTGCACGATAACAATGCCCTATTTTTTCCTGTCTACAAAAATTGATAACTTGTCAATCAGTATTATATATCTTTCTTCCTTGTCGTCGTTCATATTTCCAACAGTTTTCAGAGAAAGGCTTCTCTTCTCTCTTATATTCTTTAAATCATTAACATTATTCAGTTATGTATCACAATTAAAACCAAATTGCAGACCAAATTTAGACTGGTCTGCATGAAAACATTCCGTGTTGTTAGCATAGGAATCAAAATACATCGTCAGTTCGCATTAGCTAGCAGTAGCAGCGTCGAGACGCGCGTCTGCGTATAAAATCGCCAAGGACATCTTTATCTGAAAGGAATGCGTACGGTAAACAATGTTGTACGCTGTTTCGCGTTCGTTCGGCACGCGCCGCGCCCTGATCATTTGCTAACTTTTAGACAGTTGGTTCCAATTTTCTAGACTTTCATACGCACACTGAAGTCTCTGTCCATTCCTAAGTTGGAGGTTATTTCAAACTCCGAACAAAACAGTTTGTTTAATCGTCAAATATGGTTTTACCACCGTGTTGCTGCGAGGTTTATCCAAGATATCTTTCGAATGGGGACACGTTGCGGTACTGATATCAAAAGATCATCGCTAATGTGAAAGGGCAACTTTTAAATGCTACTTTGTAGTTGGCGCCCACTCGATTAAGAGTCAAGAAACGCAGTAAAATGCCCAGCCCCTCGGCGTTACGCTCCATGGAGTGCGTAGTGCGTGGGAAGTCTCGACAACACGCTTTACACATACTTGGGTTACACAATCTTGTGAATACTTCTTTACATCCATTGGAAATATGCAACATTTGTACAACATAACCGAACACAACACCCGTAGGTTAAATATCCAATCAGTACCAAAGAATCCTAAGTATGTACAGAGTAATTACGCCATTGTTTCGTGTTGACCCAAGTGTTAATTTACTAACAATTATTAAACTGGCTATTATTCCAAGCATTCGCCGGTCAGAAATGTAAATTCAAGCATTCCATTTGGGGCATCCTTGTTTTCCACTTCACCTACAGTAAGGGGCTTGACGCAGATTTCACTTATAACGTAGAATTATGCATTAACGAGCAACGGGACGCAACACTCTGGTATGCGAGTCGAACAATATACCAACCGACGCAGTGAAACTGCATTCAACCGCTACAATTAAAGTAATAAACACCGGCAAACTCAGGTATGATGTTCCCACTCGGTTGTTAATCGACACTATCATTGTCTTCCCCGCTTCCTTGCTTAGCAAGACAATGAATAGTTTTTCCTCCGTTTACAATGCGTAGCTGTTGAACGCTTTTACAGTATATTTTGTGTTTTTACTATAAATTTACTGGCGCCTCTGTTCTAGTCCCTATCTGACACTTGTCTTGTGAGATCTGCGAAAACCGCAAAATGTTTATTTGCACGTAACGACTCGTTACACTCATGAGAAACCACTTATTACCGCAAACGTAAAGCCTCTATGTCCGACGACACCATAAAGATCCTTATCTTGTTAAAGTGACCATGTATCGGAATTCAAGGGCGACTGTTTCGTTATTAACTACGATCTTGCTATCTCAAATGTGTGGCATAAAACCAGCTAAGTCGACGACATTCTTGTGGTGGGTAAATAATTGCATTCTGTTGGAAGCACGCGGACTAATAACTGACACGAGGGCACATTTTTCATAGTGGAACATTTAAGTTCCACTCGTATATAAGGTTAATAGCGTCGTATGCGCCGGAGACGTGGCCGGGTTATTTTTAGCATTAATAAATTGGCTTAGTAGCTCGGTTTATTGTGCGCGCGTTTCGCACAAGTAGAATGTCGACAGAGTGACATCCGCGGTGCTCAAAACTTCTAGGTCAATTTTGGATAGTCACTGCTCTTTTACCGCCTACTTAGCATTCGCCTTAAAACACTATGCTGAGTAGTTTTCACACGCTACTCGTTCAAAGCAAACGTTATTTCTATTGAACGCGGGATTTATCTACCTTTTGAACGTGGATTCAGAAGAATGTCTGAAATAGTCTCACGGTCCTTTTAATGTTACATGCTCAGAGATACGCTTTATGCTAAGTGAATATCTGCGTCTTACATACCATATCGTGTAGTGATATCGAGGAATGCCGTTGCCAAAAGGTTCAATAAATATTTCCATTTTATGTTTCCTGTATCAGCGGTCCATTTTATTGTGGTGTCAATGTACTGAGAAATTCTCCTGGGAGTACATTTTTACTTAAATACCTGAACTTGTATTGACTTTGCTATTGTCTTTTGATATTACTTGCATACAGGAGTTAAGTCAAAGAAAATGTATCCAGTTAATATAAACATTTATGGTAATTGCTGTTCATTACAAAACTACTATGTTTGATGTTTAGTATTATCTTCCGTTAATAAGTTAACAGTTTGGTTTTGTATAAATCGAGGTACTAACTTTCAGAGCCATGAGCAAAGTGTAGTTGACATGACACTGTCATGATGATTAATTGCTTACGCTCTGTTAAACATCATCGAGGTGAGGCATTTAGCATTGTAAACTGTAGCTGTGCATTTTCAACTGCAGGTGCGCAATTTTTAAGGTCAACTTTTTAAGACAATGATGCAGGTGTCGTTAAGTATGGTAAATAGATACGACCAGAGACATGATCGGTATTTAATAGGGATGTGTCGAGCACCTGCAGTGAGGCTAGGTGGCATGATGGTGAAGGGGGTGCGGGAAGACGGCGGGCGGGGGTGCGCCGCTTTAGAAAGGCGCGACCATCGCCGCAGGCCCGGGCCGCATTCTACGGCCTGTCATTCACACCGCGCAACTTGCCTATGCATTGCATTCCATCTCCCACCTCGCTCTCCATGCATCGCACCGTACACACACGCGCACCTTACGAAACCGCCGACCGCACCAACATCTCGACACGCCACATTGGTACTTAACACATAAACGCTTCATCGAATTATTTCTGCGCCAGTTCAGGAGCTAACATTGCTATGAACCAGTTCCGTGGCCTCATTAGTAGCATTTCAGTACCACTCACAATCAAATAATCAGTCCCCTTACCAAAACACGACACTGCTCCATACAATACGCATTCCGGAGGATAACAAATGATAACCATAATTTGTGTTTAGCTCATTTGTTGTCACTAAATTGTGGAATGTCGTGTGAAATCGAGATTGTTGCGCATGTTTTCTTCCAGATGGCAGGGCCGTCGCTGAGAGCAATCAGTTTGTTTTTGACGATTTATTCTATTTTAAAATCGTGTTTACCACTTGAAACTACAACAGGATCAAGAATATGGACTGCAATTTTGATATTTTGATTTAGACCACGTCAACTCGGATAGGAAACACTGGAAATTCCATGGCATGTAAAGTTTTGACATGGGGCTCCTACGGGTTAACACTTCTCTTCGAAAAACTTACCTGTCTCGCGGGTCAATCCACGTCGTTTTTCTACTGTTGTGGTCGATGAAATACAGTTTTCCGTCAAAGTCCCTTGCGTAATCCCATCCGTCGGGCAAGGGTATCTCACCGTTTCGTCTCCTTGGCATATTTCACTGATTAAATCCATTCAAACGAATAACGAAGCACACTCGCGAACTAGCTACACGGCCATGTTGAATACCTCATTACGAGGAGTGACGTCACGCGGGATCGGCCAATAGCGGCGAAGGGCCCCCACGATGGAATGCGGCGCGTACGCGAACGCGAACACACAGAGCGGTTCCGCACGTCACTTCGTCGTCGGAAAGTAAGATACATGCGACCGCACCACGCGACCCCGCGTCGCTGACTGAGCAGCGGCCGGCGCACACTCGCCGCCACGTTATCACCGCACATGATAATATTCACTACGGCACCTACTGTCCAAATGCATTCCTCTCGGCCAAATGTTTACATTACATATACACCGCCTGGCATATCCACACGCCACCGTTTGCTGACTGATGCTTTGTACGGTGCGAGTTGCTCACACGCTGCAGAAATGACTGGCGATGTAAGCAAAAAGTAGGTAGGCACCTACCCATTCAATCTATTTACGATTCCACCGTATAAATACCAATAGACGAGAGCGTATAACCCGCATTCCAAAGCGTATGTAGACATACATACAAATTACAGATAGCGACCTAACAACACATGTCCGACAATAATTCTATGCCTATCCGAGTCCAAGTGGAGAATTTATGCACTATGATAACGATCGTAAAGATGACCGAAGCGGTAATGTCGTATTATGTATGAAAGATAAAATAGGACAAGTGAATAAAAGGCTATAAAAGAAGCCATTTTTGGCAATACTGCTTACTACGACATGGTTAGATAAACAGTGGAAGACAGTTAGATGGGTCAGACATAATAATATCATTAGAATAAAGTAAGCACGGTAAACGGTGGCATGCCAATTCTGGCCTCGAAAAGAGAAATGTTTTTGAAAGAGTTTCTGTAAATAACGATTTTGGGCAAGAGATTCCAAGTACAATTCGTGGTTCCCAAAATACCGGGGTTCCTAAAATGTAATCCCATTTCCGAGAACACAAATTATGTCAAACACGATTAATTATGAGAAATCCTTTACCAATTATTTTTTTAGCTTCATAATCGGTCGGTTCCCGTCGTTGCCTCGCTACAATACAATCAATCGATACCAAAATATCGTCTAACCGAGAAACCCTCAACTTCAATATCTTGCTACTCAACTACAGCGTGTATTGGGTACTTAATATAACAAGTACCTCGAAGAACACGCGAGATACTATCTCCAATGGTGACAAAACGAAAGTCTCTAGTAGGCTGTTTCTAAGTAGGTATCTAAGAGTCGACTGAATTGAAAATGAACTAATTTTCGTGTTTAAGTCGAGTATATTTGCGACCATAGAACATATATAGGATCCTAAACGTTGGTTAGTTTGAAAAAATAATACTTATACGCGATTGAGACCCATCAAAAATAGTTTCATATCCAAAGTGTAACGATCACGAAAACCTAAGAACTCGATAGCTGGCTGAATGCCTAGAAACAAAAAACACTACAGCACTATACCCATCAAGCAGGCATCTAGATCGAACGTTCAATGTTTATTCAGGAGCGTCGAACGTTTTCTCGACTGTAGCTCGTTGCCGTGCAACGATGTCGTTGACGCCAATCGTTTGGTATCGGTTAGTGAGCTCTGCGCAGACCGCCCACAATAACGCCGTGTGATATGATCCACTCTGTATCTTCCAACAGAAGTTGAAAGCTACTAAAACATAAATTCATACAGCTGGTAGTCAATGCAAATACGCATTAGTTTGCAGTATTACTGGCAAAGACAAATCCTCCTTGAGGACTATAATATGTGGAACGTTACAAGTAAGGGTCGAAACATAAGAATTTGCGAATGGCTCCGTATCGCGATTTCTGCGATGTTAATCTTCTTTGTATTTTTCCTATATTTACTTATCAATAACAACAGTGCAACACTCTTTTTACGATCCATGTAGCTACCTAGTTTAAAAAATACGTTCAGTACGGTTGACGATCGTCGAAGGAATGGTCACCCGAACCGTGGCAGTAAGACGTCTTGCCGCACGAAATCGCAAAGCAGCAATCCGCGTCGCAGTTTTCTGCGTTTCGAATTCGCATCGCGCCGATTCTGTTTGTGTTTCGACCCTTAGGGAGGTGCCTCTATATATGGATAGAGGAAGTAATATCCCCAATTTCAAAAGCAACCATTCCTGCTAAGACCGAGTTCAATTAGAACCGACGACGCTTTATTACGTTGTACTACTCGTATAATCAGAGCTGGTCAGAATTTGAAATACGTATTTTGCATTTGTGTATCAATTACTACCTAAAATGTATTTTACAATTCATATTACATTTTAAATATCGGATAGTAATGAATGATGTAACTGATATT